CGCGCCGCTTGCAGAGCCTGTCAGGGGAAATTAACCGTCCGCAGGCGTCAGCCCACTTCTCTGCTGGCCGGGGCGGAGGAAATTGCACCCTTGGGTAGCACTCCGTTGACCTCCTCTCTGCCAGCAGAGCACATTGGCTTTCTCTGCTTCTCTTTTATTCCAGCTGTGTGCCTGCAAGGAGGAGAAACCCTGTCAGTGTCATATCCCCTGCCCACATCTCAGGCACAGCACCTCCAGTGATACTGCCCTCATCTCTTTCTGCCTGAAGAGGAAGGACTACACAATTGCAACTGAAGGACTCTCAGAATTTTTGCATATCAGTCCTGGGAAAGAGGAATTTCATAGCCTACCCGCTAGAAAGTCTTTACTCAATCTACAAAGGCTCCCAGCTCTGAGCAGCTGCTAAACATAATGGATCCAAAAGCACAAAGTGCTAGCTCAATCTGATGACTAAGTAGGTGGATTGGAAGGTGTACGCACATTGCTATTTCAGCTGTCCTGCTAAGCATCTGCCCCTGGCCACACCTGGAAACAGGCCTGGCAGGCGAGTGGCCTGACAGGCTGATCCTGACTTAGCTCTCCTGCTCCCAGAGCCAGCCACCGTTCTGGAAGGTCACTGGCATTGCCCACTCCTAAACTCTTCTGGGCTACTTCTGAAGTTTACCAAGGGCTAATGAAGCAAGGGTTGCACCTCTACATCTTTAGCCCCATGGAGCAGCTGCACCTGCTTTGCCTGGGAGCAGAATTTGATGATGACAGGGCACACTGTCCAATTTCCTCAAGGAGATGTGGTGCCACTTGCTTTATTTGAAATGTGGTCCTCTTTTCCTGCACTTGTAACTGGGATAACATTACTCAGAGAGCCAAAACTGTCTCTCTTCCCCTCCCTAAAGATATGTAACAGGGTGGGCTACAGACACTTGCTCTTGTGCCTGCTTGCACTTAGCTTGTAGCCCCTAGCAGCACTTCCCTTTGGTTTACCTGGAGATGGATTTCAATATTAACTTGTCTTTGATTTTAATAGGGCACTTGCTAGCACTTAAATGATTTGGGGCTCTCATCGAGGGAAGGGGAGGGAAGGGGTAGGGAGGGAAGGGGAGGGGAGGGGAGGGGAGGGCAAACAGGTGCCAGAGAACTGGACTGGCTCTAATGAGAGGTGTGAAGTTGAAATGGCATGGTGCCCACAGGAAGCAAAAGGCTTGCAAACCCACAGCAGTCACTGGCCAATTCTTTCCCAGGCCTGAACGAGCCTGACCTTAACAGCTTCCATTGTAGTGCCCCAAAGGCGGGATTGCTCTCCAAACAGCTCTTCCTTGCAGCCTCTCTCCCATGCTTATGCTTTCACAGGCAAGCATCATCTACTGAAGAAAGAAGATCTTTATTTTCCATCTTTAAGTAGGCAAAAAAGTAGTTCTTGAAACACCAGTCAGCCCAAAAGAGAAAGCAAAAGGGACTCTAGGGTTTTCAGAGGCTGCAGGCAGTCAGGACTTGGATCTGTTATGTCTTCCTATAGATGTTACCCAGAGGGGTAACTAGTCTGATGCAAACCACATTCAATGTAGTTATACGATGAGTACCTGCTTGAAGCAGAGGAGGAAAATGTTCAAAATGCAGGGGAAAACACTCAGATATCCACACTTGTTGGATGCAGTCACCACTCCTGGGTGGTGGGTAGCTTGGTCTCTGCATGTGCAATAAAGCAGATCATGCTGTCAGCGCTAAACCTCTGTCCTTTGACTGCTGCTGGGCTGCAAGGCTGAGTCCCTGCTGAAAGCTCCTGGACTGGCAGCCCAGTTCTCCACAGGGAAGGCTGCAATCATACAGCCCAGCTTTCTTGGGCTGGGGCTGTTTCCTGCCTGGGATGTGCAAATCCCTCTTCTCTGTTCTTCATATCCTCCCCCTAATCCTTGGCCACGTCTCATTCATCCCTCCTCAGTCATCCTGGCGGGGGCTACAAAGGTCACTTTGGTCCATACGGCAGCATAGACAGCAGCAATCTAGGACAGCATCTCCTACATAACACTGGTTGATGAGCCATGATAGAAGCTTGGTACCAAGCACAGTTTTCCTTCACTCTGATGTTTTCAGTTGTCTGAACAGTCACCAACAGGACAGGAGATACAAACGCTGAAGGACGAAAGAACTGCGACCAAGATATCCAGGTGGTGGCCACTACCAGGAATGCTTTGGACCTATACACTCTTGTGATACAGAATGCTGTAGAAATCAGGCATAGTCTCCTGTCAGCCCCAGAGATTATCTTCTGCAGTAGCCTGACTTTCTGTGACAAAACTACTTCTCATCTCAATCTCTGCCTCTTTCTGACACTGCACTGATTGGCCTAGCAACCTGTCAAAAATATCTCATATTCTCTGGAGAGGATGGCATTCTCTGAAATGAGAAAAACCACTGACAGTAGACGGCAGTGTGGTGTCACTTTGTTAATACAGAATGGTAAGGCAATCTCTACTCACTGCAGTTAATGAAGGAGACTGCAATACTATGCATTCAGTAGCTTCCTAAGATGACTACTGACTTGCAAATTTAGATAGTCCAGAAATTTGGGAGCCTTCAGTGCTGCTGAATGCCTCTTCATTTTTGGACACACAGCCACATGGGATACACATCAATCAAGTCAGCTAGACTGTAATTCAGGAGAGACAGAAGGCAACTTCTTGGTTCAACACTGAGAGCTACTGCTGTGCACAAGAAGACGACACAAACCTGAAAGATATGATCCTGCCCGTCCTCTGTGCCTTGCATATATATGCAGCAGAAGCCACTGTATCTCAGAAGCTACAGATAATGCTGAGGTCTTCAAGTATGTGATGTTAGAGCATACAGAACAGCAAACGAGAGTCTTCTCTGGGTTGCACAAAATAGCATAAGAAAGAACAGACAAAAGTTGCAGCAAGGGAAATATGAAAGATATTTGGAAAAAAAAAGATTTCACAGCGAGAATACTCAAATATTAGAACAAGTTCCTCAGAGAGGCTGTAGAATCTTCAACTTTTGCGATATTTGTAATTCCTCAGACCCTGAGCAAGCTTACTGAAGTCATTC